AATCTGTATTACTGTTTTGTTGTAAAAACTTATGGTCCTGCATCCTATTGATATCATGTAATTATACTTTGCCTTTACACAAGGCCATGCTTTTCTCAGACTTTGTGAAAAAACCACGCAGTTAAGTATTTTATTTCCATTTAGGTATGGTATGTCATGTATGAATAGCAGCACGTTACTCAAAAAAAAAAACCAAAACCATTTAGCGTGTTTATAGTGCATAAATACACAAATTGTATAAAGCGATTGTAAAAAAAAAACTTAGTTATTCTCTTCTAATGTTGACATGTGATTCCATTTATATATAATGCGCGACGTAATTAAGCTTTTCAAGTTAATGGAAGTTGTTGAAGCAGTTGATGAAAAATCTTCACCATAATTCTACAATTTCTAACCCATTCAGGATTAATGTTTTTTTTAGAGTATTATTGAGGGTCAGGAATAAATAGAATAATGATAATTTCGAAGTTAAGAAACAGTGGAGTTTTATACCATCAGCTTCCCCTAAAGACGACAGTGTTTTAAATGAATTTGTCCAGGCATAAACACTTTTATATATGAAACTTAAGAAAATCCCGCTTATTAACCTTTCTATTTATGCAGTAAAAACTCATCAAAAATCAGTTAATGGTTCCTTTTTTTTATTAGAACATAGTCACAGTAAAGATTACTAAATTTAGACAATTGACAAGTACGTTGACATGCTTTGTTAACTACAATTGCCATCCATTTGCCTCAAAACCGACAATATCACCTGACCCCGACAGTATAAGTGTTTGGGTCATACAAGTCGACTGTTCTTGACCATCGGTAACCTATTTGTCGCCTTAATTACATCTTTTCACCGTCAATTCGAAGTAGATGTTACTGAATTATCGTGTTTAACATACTTGAGTTCTGAAACAAAGTATAACTGTATAGTGTACACGTTTTACTATGGCGATCGAATATGATGTATTATTACAGAAGCTTGGGGGATTTGGTAGATATCAGAAAATTCTTTTGGCTGCATTATTTTTTCCTGCAATTTTTAATGCGTTGCAATCATTTCTTCCAAACTTCATCTTAGCTGACCACAAGTACAGGTAAGATTAAAACATGTTATACATGTAATTTTAAATCATTTAATTCGAAAACATTAATCACTTGCTGAACAAGGCATTCCAAAGGGGAAGGGGTTGGGTTAACACCAAAATGTAAGTGAAATCATAAATTTCCTAGCCAAAAAGAAAAAAAAAGGATATTTGATCAACAATATAATACGTGCTGGATAAACGACCTTCTAAAAAATGTTGTACTTAAACACCCTAACAATAATACACATTTTATATAGTACATGTCTCTTCACCTGTAGTCACGTGATTCCAATAAGTTTTAGGTCAAAGGAAAGTGGTACAAACATTTGAGAAATTTGTCTACATAAGTGTGACAGTATGTATATATTAAAATGGCCCGACTGTATTCATACGCATTAGAGATGTACAAACATGTTATATTTCCTTGTGATCTCCGCCACTTTATACGTATTCCATCAAAAGATGATGTTCAAATTAAAAAGGAAGCAAAATGATTATTTTGGGTTTTTTTGACTCGTGAATTGGAGATAACTAAATCTTGTCCTGTGACTTTTTGTCCGTGATATTTTTTCCCTGTGAATATCTGTCATTCATTCATTTGTTGTATATACAATTCTGTATTTAATTAATATTAGGGAAGTCAACTCGGTGGTGAATTACTAATCGAGAACTCCTTGATTTCAACGAGTGATACTCGAGTTCTCGCTCAGATAATATCTACAAAATTGAAACCCAATTAATTATACACATTTTACACTTGGTGAGGCGCTGTTTATTGGACGTTATACCCTGAATAAATTATTATCTGGGTCTAGACCATAGTCCTAGGAATTATATATCATATTACACCCCAGTCCTATTGTTATACTTCATAGTTTCTATTTCTGAAACAAGTGTAAATTGAATAGATCTATTGTTACGAATAACAATGGATTTTGACCACAGGGTGTGACGAGCGGGGTTTCTGGAAACCCCTGCTTCTACATCCCGCAAACAAAGTCCATTGTTATTCGAAACAATAGAAATTGATTATTTTTTAAATAGCATGAACATAAAAAATTACTAATAGTGTTCACTACAAATTGTTTCATGATATTAAACAAACACATTTAGGAAATTCCAATAAGCATCTATATTGAATACAAAAATAATTCTTTAAATACTCTTTTGCTTGAAGGTATTTTTTTTTTATCCCAGTCATATGTCTCTATTCTAAAGCATTGATCTTTAAAAAAAATGGGGATTCTAACTCCCGGACCCCCCCCCCCCCCCCCGGTTACCCAGTGGCCGATCCGGTGTTGGGGTTCCGCGGGTTGGACCCGACTTTTATTTAAAAAATCAATGCATTTGAATGGTTGGACCCCCCTTTTTCTCTTGAGTTTGGAACCCCGGTTGGATCAGCCCCTGATTGCCCCAAAAAAAGGGATTTCCGCAGTATTAAATATTGTATGTTGAGCGTGTCTGATAGTCGGGTTTCTAATGCAGACACACCTATCCCTTAGTATGTTCGAATATGAATGTTTGTTTATTCTCGAGAAGAGGGGGGGCGGGGGGGGGCTTTTGATTTTGATAAAATCGTAAGATATAAAATACAGTTATGATTACCTTTATCTGTTTATTAAACTGATACAGGTAAGTACTTTGGGTTATAATATTGCCTTTATCTTTAGTCGCTTCTACCAAATCCAACGCTTGCCATAAAATGTCGTCCGTCTTATACCCGTCCATATTGACAACTGTATACCAGGAGCATGATGTATTTTTTGTTTGTAATAAGAATACACGAACCAGTCAACCTTGACCTGCTGATCCATATTAGCACATGGATTTAACGGGAATATGCAAAACAACTTGACATTTGTAAAATATACTCACTTGTCAAAGTTTGAACCAAGATAACCAAAGAAAGGTTACTAGTGGGGTTTCATGTAATAAAAAAATATTCTTATAAATCATGGTTTGATATTGTCAATAAATATGCTATCGGTTTTTTTTTCATTTAATAATCAATGTTAACAAATATAGGGTTTAGAATGCGGTGTAAGTTAGTTATACACCTCGGGATACGGCGTGTCTGGATAAGAAACTCCTCCGGCCTCTGGCCGACGGGGTTTCTTATCCAGACACACCTATCCCTCGGTGTATAACTATTACATCAATACCTCATTAACTAAATGTACTAATTAACTAAACAGTTATCTAATCAATAATTTTATTAACACATATTGAATACAGATGATTACAAAGTAAAACCTGTTCAAACAATAATAACGTTTTTTTAAGGAAAACAAAACATTTACAAAGACGTGATGATTAGAAATCACTGAAGCGGTCTCAAGAAAACAAGTGTGATGAAAAGAAAAAGACAATGTTCAAACAGGAAACCGATTAGTCGACGATCATTTTGACATTTGATTTCTCGGTATTACCTAGCTATATTCGAGTACTTTAGTGCTCGTTACATCCCTTATTAATGTTAAAAAATAACCTAAGACGAATGCAAAATAATTTTTTTCTTAAAAGAGGGACGAAAGATACCAGAGGGACAGCCAAACTCATAGATCGAAAACAAACTGACAACGCCATGGCCAAAGATAAATAGACAAACAGACAAATAATAGTACAGATGACACAACATAGAAAACTAAAGACTAAGCAACACGAATCCCACCAAAAACTGGGGGTGATTTCAGGTGCTACGGAAGGGTAAGCAGATCCTGCTCCACATGTGGCACCCGTGTTCTTAACATAGATCACACAAGCATAATCAAAGACATCGTCTATTGAAAATATATATCATTTTACTCAAAATTTTATTAGAAAGTATAAAATGCGAGAATTTTTTACGTATATAGTAATTTAAGATTCGTAAAGTAAGACATTTCCATTAGATGCTTTGTTTTTGTCCAAAATATATTTGATAAAACATAGTAAAACATAGTAGAACATAGTAAAACAAAGTAAAACATAGTAAAACACTGTGTATATTGACATTTCTGAAATACGGTTTATCAAAGCTTTCGGCAAAACTATACAAAGACACATAACATTGCTTCAATAACTTGCGTCATAATTTTTATTTTTCTTCGAAATTTTAGAATCGTAAAGGAAGAAAATTTCAGAAGATACTTAGATACTTTGTGATAACAACAAATCGTACAAAAAGTCGGTTCCAAACCGGTTCCTGTGATAACAACAAATCGTACATATTTAAAATTGCTATTTGTATGATAAAAATATATGTTCAAAAACTTTTTTCTTCGGAAATATTATGATTTCTTTGCCAAAAAGTAGTTTTAGGTCCTTTGTACCCTCATTAAATTCTTTTTTGGTCCTTTGTTGTACATTGTGCTCCTTTATCCACAACGGAGGTCATTCGTGGTGTTTTGATACCCTTACGTATTTGCCGAATAGTTATATTCTAACACACAATGACCATTTATGAAATTTTCGTCACAATTTTTGCAAGAACTACGACTCGAACCACCCTCAAATTTGATAAGAAAAATTATGTTTTCACCGTCAATGTAAATTGAAAAGACGGGACAATGTGTTTAAATTTATAACACACATATAATAAACTATCATACACACATTTGACAACATCAAAAGCAAAGGAATAACACCTTTAGTTTATTACTATTCTTCATCTCAAAGTCAAAGTGAAGCCTTCATCACGGAGCAACATTTCACATCTGAATGCAATTTCCAAATATCCTTTTAGGATAGTGTGACCATGTGAATTAAGATTAATTTGACAATAACAATAAAGCACTTTACGACCAATAAAGTAATTGGAAAGTACACACATGGTCTACATACTCAAGGAGTGGATTCCATACTCATACATATGAGTATTTCGATTGTACACGTATATTTCAAATACTCATAATATATCTTCAAATAAGATCGTACTATTTGCAGATGTAAAATTCCATATGAACAAGACAGCTATGAACGAAACGTCACACTTCATCCAGTCTACAATGTATCAACATGTTCTGTACACTACAATGGAACAATTCAGAGGTGTACAGAATGGGTTTACGATCAATCCATTTTTACAGACAGTCTGATATCATCAGTAGGTAAACGTGTGTTATATACAATAAAATAAGTCAAGTCAGAAGTGTATTTCATGAATTCATGATCAAATAAAAGCTTCCACGCGCATATACATTTTGCATTATGGTCTCAGTCTCTCTGAAAAATCCTCGGCCCTCCATATCAAGAAACTTATGCTTTATCTTATATCATCAGTATTCTGCAAGGACCCTGTGGAACATTTTCCAACTTGTTTAGCTGCAAAACTTCTTTTAAATAATGTATAGTGTCCGCAGTAATGCCTCATCACCCATTACATTGCGTATTGTGTTCATATTTCTTTATGATGGCTTATTACACGTTCCAGTGAACAGATCACCCTTATATCCTCCATGACTTATAGAATGGATTAGGAGGGGCAGTCCGAAAGATAGTCCCATAAACGGGGATTGATAACAAAATGTTACGCCCGTGTTTGGGACACATTGCTCGGTGATCTTCCAATACAACTCACTACACAACCCGTAACAGAACAGTAGATAAAAAGATAACAGAAACCAGAAACAATAGTGGACAAAAGTGGACAATACAATAGACCACAGCAACCACTCCCATCTTCCGATAAGAAAAGACGTACAAAAAAGACAGAATAACAACGAACAACTCATGGTATAGATAGCCTGACTTATTACAGAATATACAAAACACCATGCACCAGGATTTATTCGCAATAAGTAATATACAATAATTTTTACTTCGTCTATTCCTTCACGGTGATACACAATGTCTTCTATCTTGAACTATTAACCATGCACTCCTTACAGATTATGTAAATTGGTCTATATTTTGGCACACTGTCATGAACTCTGCCTCTCATGTTTTCCATTTTGGGTCTTTTGAGCATGCATAAAGATCATGCACAGTGTTTTCATTCTTATATTGTTACCAGTTTTCTTAATGATTGTGTATTTTGTCATTAATTTCAATATTTTAAACTGTTATTTGTACTTTCGGTTATGAAGCCTCAATTATTTTATACAGTTGAACATTGTATGTGATGACAAAGAATGGCGAGAACACTTAATTCTAGCAGCCTTATTAGGAATGTTCTTTGGAAACATTGGTAACAACTTGATGTCAGATTTGTAAGTGTAGATATGGATAGTGTCGAACTTTGATGGCCATCTTGTTATGATGTTTGTTAGACGGGTAGAGTATAACTTTGATTTTCTTGCATTGAGGTTAGTATATTAAGGTTACAGTAGTTTTCCGATGTTAAAATCTCGCAAATCGAATAGGAAGAGACAAATGAAGTTAAAAAACAGGAACTGAGGGAATCGCATGAACTTCAAAAGGTGCGAGATCGGTAGTGTCCACAGGGTGAGCGTCTCCGGCTATGCATGCATTAACCGCCACGAGAATTCACAATCAGTTAAAATGTCGTTTAAATTACAGATCATACAATCTCATCGGTATCTAAATATATAAGACCACAAAAAATGTCGCTAGTGAGTTGAGACAACGACACATCGTACTGGTCAACAAATTCGTGATGGTCATCCAAAAACCTATATAATGTCGATTTCAGTCGATCATCCTTAAAACTCTTTTGGATCAGTTTTTGTGTAAGCACACTCATATTAATGAAGTCCGTATAGTATGAAAATGTACAAGCATAACGTAATAACTGAGATATGAAAACCCCTTACGTTAGAGCAGAGGGTATGTTACTTGAAATTGGACGTTTATAATTGGAAAGTTTAAATCATCACGTTTGTCATATATTCTACTTTGTTGTCGTCCATCTGAGTCAATATCGAGTATTTTTAATTTCAAGTTCATTGTGATAGTGAAGTATGGTAGTTAAAAAAAACAAAAAAAAAAACAATCACCATCGCCATCGCCAAAAGGAAAAAAAACAAATGACGAATAGACAAACAACAGTCCACAAAACACTAAACCGAAAACTCAAGACTTAGCAGCACAAACCCCACCAACAAACCAGGAGTGATACAAGTAGATTTCCGTTGTGTTGCTCATGGCAAATAAAAATGCGATGATATCTAGCTGCTTTTTGTAAGTTTTAATCGAGAAAAAAAAGGACGGCATTCTGACTACGACGGTTGGAACAAATCCATAGTCATCTGTAACGCAGATATCCCATAAAGGTAAATCGATTCATGATGGCGTCCGTCAAAACTTACGAAGGGATGATTTTAACCTTACCAATAAGAACCCTTGGTTCAATAACTTCCTTGTTAGCAGCAATCGCTATCAAGAAAGTCATGAAAGGAAACACAAGAGCTTGAATATCGTATCTACATGTGCAGATGCTACTGGAATCTTACTATATAGAAATTAAAAGCTAACAATAAGAAAGCTTAAATTATCTCTTTTATCGTAAAGTGTAGTTCTCGATCGGCCCTCATTGTCCATCATTTTGAGATATATATCACGATATAAAGCAGACTTTTCTGTGAACCTGTTTTGTTCTATTTCAAATTCTGTTTACATCCATCCCCTCCCTCCAAAATAAAAAACAAAAACTCCCCGAAAAAACAAAATGATTTCTGGACTCGTTTAGATATGATATAGATATACACTAAAGAAATTCCTACTTGTGGGAGTCACATGAGTATGGTAGTTTTAAAGTTACTTCTTGAGATCAAACCTCCCTTTTAAATCTGGAAACATACAGAATTAATTAATATATGAAAAGCAGAAAGTCAATATCACGTAGGTTGTTCAGTACTCCCCGTCATTTTCTTTAATTTCTAATCAGGTATGGAAGAAAATTAACAGTTTATTTAGACCTGATAATATACACTATTGGGAGTGTACCACTACCATGGACTGAAAACAGAATAGCCCTTCTATTCCTGAGGTTTCTTGCAGGCGTTGGTGGAGTGGGATATTACCAGATCGCTTTTATTTTAGGTATAGTCAACATTAGTAACAATCATATTAACAAGAGGCAACAGAAGTTAACGATGTATTATTAACCAACGTCTTAATATACATTATAAATTGTCCAGGTAGTACAAGTCCATGTGATTCAGAACTGATCGTTAATACAGACGATGTATTATTAAACAACGTCTTAAAATACATTACAAATTGTCCAGTTAATACAAGGCCATGTGTCTGAGAACTGGTCGTTAATACAGGTCTGCTCGGTATTTATATATCCCGCAATTGTGTTATTGTGCTATGGTCATTTTTTGTATTCTCGCCTTTCATTTTTGCTAATGCGCTTTGTCTATAGAGTGTCTATATGCCATTTTGTTTTTCTTTGTTGACATAGTTGTTTGTGTTTATAGTGATTAAGATCATAACACAATATTGACTGTTGTACCCTAATTTTTTACATTTTTTACCTATTATGTCTGTTTGTTTTGCTCATACATTGTTGTCAATATGATGGAATTCTATGCGACTGTCATATAATCAAGAGATTTAGCTAACTATAAAACCAGGTTTAATTCCCCACTTTCTACATAAGAAAATGCATATATCAAGTCAGAAATATGACAGCTGTTTTCCATTCGAAATGTTTGATATGCTTGAGCTTTTGATTTTGCCATTTGACAAGGAACTTTTCGTTTTGAATTTTCCTTAGAGTTCAGTATGTTTGTTATTTTACTTTTATACAGACAAAATGGTTAACACAGATTTTTACTGGTCTTAATACGAAATTTTAACTTCCGATGTTTGGTCCAAAAAGGTGTCAAAAAATGGATTTATGTATTACGCGAAATATTAGTTTTCAACAAGTTTGATTTTATGTTATTTTTTTTAGTATATAACAATTATGGACCGTAAAAAGGGAAAATCCTGCATTGTCAACCGTAAAAGATTATTTCTCTGAAGGCGCAGTGCGAAGTGAGAGACATTTGAAGGGTTGGCAGTCTTGGATATGCGCCATTTCGAATGGGACACGTTTGTTTATTTATACCAAATGGCCCTTTGAACCATTGAAAATACATGTTAAAGAAGCTCTTGTACATGTCTTACTGTAGTAGCAAATTGTCAAAACACTTACGTCAGAGAATTATTTTTGTCACTTCAAATGCCTCATATGTACAACAAATGAAGACTCTTTCTGTTAAATATTGGTTGCCCTGAAAAGTGCCGTTTGTGAAAGCTTTCCTTATACCCAGATTGATTTCAAATACTTGTTTCTTCTTCACTTAAGGTAGATTCATGGTATACCGCCATCTTGGATTGTACAATTGCAGTACAAAATCGGTCTAGTTATTTGCCCAAATCTGCAAATTTGGAGACAGATTTGCAATTTAACGGTTAGACTGTTTATTTATATAAAGAAAACTTGGTGATTTATTGTATTTTTCAAAATATTTAAACAAATATAAAAAATTTTTTTGTTTTTAGATTCATTTTTTTAAATGAGCTATTTCAGGGGAAATAACTCTTTTAGTTAAAAATTTATACTGGACTAATAGGGAAATTTTTAATTTTTACTTGTAGCAAGAAAACAAGTTCGGTGACACAATTTTTTCTTTTTATTTTCTTAAAACATATTATAAAACCTATCTTCTCACAATTTATTTCAAAATTCTATCTCATAGAATTTTTTTTATGCACACAAATGTGTTTTTTCATGAACAATCTAACCAAATTTAAGCAATTTTCAACGATTCATAGCTTGCAAAATAGCACGGTGACCCATACTTTTTATTATATTTTTGAAAAAAGCATAGTAAAATCTTCATTTTGGAAAATTATAAGAAAATTCTGTCTCAAAAAATATATACTTATGATCTACCTTAAGTCCACGGACTTTTAAACTGGACGTTGCCATTTTGTTAGCACACACTAATGATGTCATTTTGATGGGAAATAACTCGTGTAAAAATAGAGAGGTTCAAAGGGTTATTTACCGGTAAAGAAAAGGATAATTCATCGCACAATATTAATTTTAGGGTTATCCGGATTCCTTGCATTGAAATGATGATTATCACAAAATGTTCATGTTGATCCAGCACGAGTCTTCCTACAGTCATGTCAATCCTCAGTCAGCCTTTGGGAATTATTTTAAGTCAGTGGTTAATAAAGGTGTCATCAAATGTGTGTTTTCATATTAATCCTGTATTATGTCCTGGCACAGTCGTATTGGCTCTCGATTAGCTGTATTGGCCCTCGGGTACGCCTAGAAACAATACAGCTAACTCCGACCTAAAACGATTGCACTTGAACATAATACAGGATTAATATGAAAACAACATTTAAATAACACTATAGTAGTAAACCTATCATTTGCCTGGAGAAAGAGAATTGCATGAATTAAAAACGGAGAGAGATCAAATAAGTCGACAAGGTGAACATCTATTTCTGCATGACCCGATATCCAGACTCTGTAAAAAAGTGATGATTGGGGAATATGACACAATTGGTTAGACAATTATTTTCCAAACCACCTTAAATACGTTACATTAGGTTCATTTGGACGACTGAAGAATAAAGAAAAACGAAATTATTCATCAAAAAAATTCTCAGGGGTTATTGTAAAACTGCTTGGACATTTTACCATATATATAAATAAGATGTGGTATTATTGCTAATGAGACGACTTCCAACCGGAAACCAAAATGACCAAAATAAAAAATGACGTAAAAACTTAGCAAAATATGTTCATTATGGTCATAATCGGTAATAACTAAAAAAAGCAAATGCAAAGTGTACATTTTAAAGTTTTTTTTTATAGGAACGGAACAAGTATCACCTCAATACAGAGTAGCTGTGAATTTTCTGGAGCATTTTATATTTACAATAGGCCAGTTTATTCTATGTCTTGTGGCGTATTACCTACGAGATTGGCATTACCTAGCAATGGCATGCGGTATGCCATTCCTCATCACTATTTTCCATTGGTTGTGAGTACAAGAATTTTTCTGGTTTGGAAAGTATTATGCCCTGAAAATGGAGAAGCATCTTCTATTCCTTACTACTGGTTAAAAGTAAAGGATAGTCATCACTTGTCACATGCACAGGCTGGCATATGCCTACTAGATGGTTACTTAAGAAATAATTCATGGCAGCCGTAGATTTGTTTTCATTTAACCATAGGTTGGGTATTTATATTCGATTATTTTATCCCGAGCGACAGTTAAATGAAAACAAATCTACGGCTGCCATGAATTATTTCGATTCTAATAGGATAAATTCTGTAATTTTGTCAACCATGAAAGCCCTATACACACGATGCTGTTTGGCTGTTCCGTTTTACTCCACATATAATAATATTAATGATATAATATTATTCAACAGTACATAAAAAAACTCACATTCTTCGCCTAAATTTGTTCTTTTTGTGTTCTTTTATTACATTCTGAGGCGTACAAAAAACCTAAAACGCCCGGTGTTTACATTTGACGCCAGAAGCATACATATGACGTCACCTTGTTTAGTTGCCAAAGACGATAGCACAATTTCGCGGAATTTTCATTTTTACATCGAAATAATTACTGAAATGTACCGATTTGTTTATTTTGCATCAGCACAGAGATAACCGTATTGTATTCGAAGCTTGGCCTACGTAAAACGTGGGATTCACTGTCAAAAATTGAGTTTACCTGGTCGTATAAATAAGATGGGCGTAACGCGAAATAGACAAATTGTGTATCTATGCGTCTGCGCTAAAAGTAGATATACTGTGATTATACTGGTTGACGATCTATATATAGGTCGTCATATTAGAATCCTAATAAAACGGCACTTATATAAAATAGAACAAATAGTGATATAAAGTATATACTGTAAATTCAGAAATTATTGCGAGGTTTTTATTAATGCGAAAAGTGCGACTAGGATAGTATCGCAATAATTAAAAGTCGCATTCTGATATCTGATATATGCATCTGTATGCAGATTTTCCTGAAATTGCAATAATTAATCTCGCATTATTGTCCATTCTTCATAAATCGCAATGATAAATGCACGCAATAATATCTGAATTTACAGTAGATTATTAACAATTCAACTAAGACCGCCTCTACCTAAAAGACAATCACAGTCACAAATTAAATCAAAGAGTAAGAGAGTGCTTGACATCTTCCCAACGACTTAACAATGTACAAATGTGTAAACGTTCAAGATCATAACAGGCATGACATTTTATTCAAATATTCTGAACAATAAAGGGACGCCTACTCCACCTTTTATTGTTGAAAATTATGTGTCTTTTGGAAATTAAGAAATTGGTTTCTGCATGCGCTGGCTTTTTGTTGATTAATTTCCGAATATGTCTCGACATCATATGTTGATTTGTAACCAACTATTGATGGGGAATTGCTTCCTATTTTTTAAAAAAATTGTACATTCCCACTTATTGTTATCTTCCTGTTGCTCACTCTTCAACTAATTCTTTCACAGTGCTAGTCTTTTCGTCTTTTCGTTTGATAACTGTATTTGTCATTTTTCGAGTTATTTTTTTAACTTTCTTGGCAATTCAAAAACAGAAAATACTGTAAATGTACAATTCTGAAATGCAACAAATGATTTCGACTCGTTACTTGTACAATACTGAAATGCAACAAATGATTCCGACTCGTTACTTGTACAATACTAAAATAAATCAAATGATTCCGACTCGTTACATGTACAATACTGATATAAAACAAATAATTCCGACTCGTTAAATGTACAATACTGAAATAAAACAAATGATTCCGACTCGTTACATGTACAATACTGAATAAAACAAATGATTCCGACATGTTACATGTACAATACTGATATAAAACAAATGATTCCGAATCGTAACTTGTACAATACTAAAATTAAACAAATGATTCCGACTCGTTACATGTACAATACTGATATAAAACAAATGATTCCGACTCGTTACATGTTTAATACTGAAATATAACAAATGATTCTAACTTGTTACATGTAAAATACTGAAATACAACTAATGATTCCGAATCGTTACATGTACAATACTGAAATACAACAAACGATTCCGAATCGTTACATGTACAATACTGAAATACAACAAACGATTCCGACTCGTTACATGTACAATAATGAAATAAAACAAATGATTCCTACTCGTTACATGTACAATACTGAAATAAAACAAATAATTCAGACTCGTTACATGTACCATACTGAAATAAAATGAAGGATTCAGATTCGTTACAATTACAATTCTGAAATAAAACAAATGATTCCGACTCGTTAAATGTACAATACTGAAATGAAACACACGATTCAGACTCGTTACATGTACAGTACTGAAATAAAACAAATGATTCCGAATCTTCACATGTACAATACTGAAATAAAACAAACAAATCATTTTGTTACAATTACAATTATACTGAATTAAAACAAACGATTCGGACTCGGTATATGTACAACACTGAAATAAATCAAACGGTTCACTCGTTAGTTGTACAATACTGAAATAAAACAAACGAATCCGAATCGATACATGAACAATATTGAAACAAAACAAACACATCTTATTCGTTATATGTACAATACTGAAATAAAATGAATACATAGTTATTAGTATTGATTGATTGATTGTTGGTTGCTTAACGTCCAGTGGCAAATATTTCATGCATATTCAGGATGATATAGTTATTAATAGAATAGCACTATTACAACGACAATAATACTGTGTGTTCCTATTGCTTTTTCAGTTTAATTTCCGAATCGCCAAGATGGTTGTTAGCCAAGGGAAGAAACAAAGAAGCAATCGAAATTCTGAAGAAGGCAGCAAAGATGAACAAAGTAGAGCTAGATTTCGAGTCAGATGAAATAAAAATCCAAGAAGAACATGCTGAACCATTTCTTAAATCTTTTAAAGCTTTATTTGGTTCATTTAGACTGGTTAGACGTTTACTTATTCTGGCATTCTGTTTGTAAGTTGTGAATTCTTAATAACTGTGCGTCTGACTGAGAAAGATACTTAGATTTAAATATATTTATTTCACAATTGTTAAACTCTTTTGACTTCATAATTGATTTAATAGAAACAAAATAAACAATGCAAGAGTTAACAAATTCTGAGTGGGCTTACATCAAATCTGTATTAATGCATGAAAATAACATAAAAATAATTTAGTCATTCAGACGCGTTTTTCTATTTATTTGTTAATTTATTTATTCGGATGCATGACTGTTTATATCAATATGTAATGTTAGTCCTTCAGGTAATTGATAAATAAATAAAACGCCACTGTTTCCGTTTTCATATGTTCATAAGAATGGCGGTTAACTCGCACGCATGACCACGTAAACTATATTTTGATAAAAAGTCTTTTTCAAGTGCTATACTTGAACTAAAAATAATACACTATCGTAAACAAGACGAAAGTGTTCCATACAAGGAATTAGCTTAATGTGCGACAGAGTCATTTAATATTTCTACCACTATTCCAATCAGAAAAAAGATGAATCTACCTTAAATACTCAGTAATCCGACAGGACCAAAAACTTAAATGACACGAGTCAGTATTTGGGTATTACATTTCAGCAAATTTTGTAGAATTGCAGTTTACTTTTCTGCAAATATTGTAAAGCTGTAATTTTACTTTTCCGGAAATTTTGATAAGCTGAAGTTTTACTTTTCCGCAAATATTGTTAATTTGAGCTTTTATCTTTTCCGTCAAAACAGTTTGGTACCTTTCAGCAAAACGTACGCACTTCTCTTCCGCAATTTACCTGATCAGTTACCTATAATTTTTATTGCGGAAATTAATCAACGGGTTGCTTAGATATTTAGAAATATTATCACTTGGACTCTTGACACGCGGCACTAAATCCGATGCTGAAGAAGGTCGTCCGTTTGACTGTTTGTGATTTGTAAATACACAGCCATGTCAATGCTATCTACATGATTGTCAAACAACCGTTGAAACAACTTTTTGAGGGATCCGTTGGTGATCTGTTATTAGAATTAATGTATGTTTATATCTAAATTGCCTTCTTTTCCCGCTAGGAGCCTAAAATGTCCAACTTCAATTCCATTTTCAGCCCATTTGCCGAATCTATCTATTGTATTAATATTTGACTTTTTATTCACTTCGTGAGTTAATCGATCCTTGACTTTAATTAAGATTGTGAGTTCATCAGTTCTAGATAACACATCAATAACTGGCAGAAAAAAATATTTGTTTTATACTTATGAGTCTCAACCAAACCAAATTCTTTCGTTTTCCACTTTCTTGGATCCCAGGATTACATTCAAGAGTATTGCACATTCATATATCGAAGTGAAATCGACTCAGTGTTAAAATAGGCTACAAACTTAGTTTTGTCAACATGGTCTATCGAAGTGAAAACCTAGGAAAAATATTTATAACGAACCAAATACATTCAATGGTTGATAACTGATTATTCAATTACAGTGCAAACAAAACATTTCATGCATTTTCAGGTCTAGGACAAATTAACAATAAATACGGTACGTAGGTCCTGCAATTAGGGCTCAACCAGTATGGAAGACTGGACATTTAAAATGCCACTTGAAAATGTGGTTATATTGGATAGTGAAAGAAGCCTTGCAACAGGCCACCAACAGATTCATCAAAAAGTTGTTGCAAGGATATTTTCACAAAAAGGCATCGAATTTTACGTTCCCATTATGACTGGACGATACTGCGAATGTATACAAGTCAATCGTGGGGCCACACTGCCGGTTAGAAGAATATCAAGAGATGACCACATTTTCATACCCCAGTCAAGGTTCAATCGCATTCAAAATATTACAATTTCATTAAATTGAAGATATGCAAATCATATAAGAATTATATTGTCTCATTTAAGTCTTTGTCATAATCTCTCGAACTAAAATACATATTTTTACATTTTACTTAATTCCGATTACATAAACAAATAGATTTACTTTGTTTTCAGTTTTGCTGTTAACCTGACTTATTATGGAATAAGCTTGAACATTGGAATTCTGGGAGGAAATATCTATATCAACTTTGCTATTTCTACGCTGATGGAATTGCTTGGTGTGACGTTTTCACTCATCACGCTGAACAGATTTGGTAGAAAGAAGATGCATTGTATCTCATTACTGATTGGTGGGACTAGTTGTCTCTGTACTATATTTACATCATTATATGCGTCTAAAGGTAACTTCGCCAAACCATTAGGTTCTTACTGTTTGCATGACGTTTTCTTCAGTTTTATTTGTAATACTATTACTATTACTATTACTACTGTTACTACTGCTGCTTTTACTCTTTCGAGTTCAATGAACAAACATTTATGATCTTAGCTTTTTCTCTTTCCATATCAATGAACAAACATTTATAATCTTAGCTTTTACTCCTGCCAGTTCAACAATCAAACATTATAATCCTAGATTTTACTATTTCCAGATTGATGAACAAACGTTTATAATCCTTGCTTTTACTCTTTCCAGATCAATGAACAAACATTTATAATCTTAGCGTTTTACTCTTATCAGGTCAATGACAAACATTAATTATCCTAGCGTTTGGCTTTTTCCAGATCAACGAACACACATTTATAATCACAAGCTTACTCTTTCCAGATCAATGAACAAATATTTATAATCCTTGCTTTTACTCTTTCCATATAAATGAACAAACATTTATAATCCTTACTTCTACTCTTTCTAGATCACTAAACAAACACTTGTTATCCTTGCTTTTACTCTTTCCAGATCACTAAACAAACATTTAAAATCCTTGCTTTTACTCTTTCCAAATCAATGAACAAATAGTTATAATACTAGCTTTTACTCTTTCCAAATCAATAAACAAACAGTTATAATACTAGCTTTTACTCTTTCTAAATCAATAAACAAACATTTATAATACTAGCTTTGAAAAAGAGAGGCAAAAGATACCAAAGGGATATTCAAACTCATAAGTCGAAAATAAAATGACAACGACATGGCTAAAAAAAAAAACAAAAAACCAAAAGACAAACAATAGTACACAAAACACAACATAGAAAACTAAAGAATGAGCAACACGAACCCTATCAAAATCTGGGGGTGATCTCAGGTGCTCCGGACGAGAAAGCAGATTCTGCTCCACATGCGGCACCCGACTCTTTCCAGACCAATAAACACACGTTTATAATCTTAGCTTTTACTCTTTGCAGATCAACGAACAAACCTTTATAATCTTAGCTTTTACTTTTTTTCAAATCAATGAACACACATCTACTCTTTCCAGATTATTGAACAAATATTTATGATCCTTGCTATTACTCTTCCATATAAATGAACAAACATTAATAATTCTTGGTTTTACTTTTTCTAAATCAATGAACAAATGATTATGTTCCAAGATTTTGCTTTTTCCATTTAAATGAACACACATGTGTAATCCTAGCTCCTAATCATTTTTAGATCTTCATTGGATAACCATTGCTTTGGCAATGATTGGTAAACTAGCGGTGACCATTAATTTCTTTGTGGTTTACACGTTCACTGCAGAACTGTTCCCTACCGTGCTACGAGGTGTGGCTATGGGTATGTGTAGTACTACTGGTAGAATTGGTACAGTTTCGTCTGCATACATAGGTGCATTGGTAAATACTTATATATTAGGACCAGGGTTTGAAAAAGGAACAATCAGGGGGAAACATACAATTTTCTTTTGTGTTTTTGAAAGTACTAATAATTTGAAATGTCAAATCTATATTGTGATCGATCAATGTCAAGGAAAACATTTGTATAGAATACGGACGATGTGATCGTATTGCTCAATTTGTTTCATTTAAAGTTTCATGTGTAACATAGTTTTTTTACATAAACTTTTATTTTTTTATTGACACATTTTGATTGATAAGACCCGCACATAAGATATGTTGTTGTATTGGATAAACAAGTAAATATAGATAAATGAATAAACAATATGAATGATACAAATGAATTAATAAACAAATAAACAATACAAGAAAAATTGAAATGCAAATGAATAAATAATATTTCTGGCTTTTTTCTAAGGGAACATTCAAGAATTCCGTACACTGATTTATATCAAAGTTTTAATTGCATTAAAAAAAAGACAAATTAGATTGATCCCCAGTTATCACGTTAAAGTAAAACACAGTTTGATGATGTAGATTTCATATGTTGCACTGTAGTCATCACTGTTCACGAAAGGTATTTTTTTTAGAGCGTTCCGGTATTTCTCATTGTGACTAAAAACTAAGGTCCAGAATTAAATCCGATACAGAAAGCTGATGTATAAATAAATTTGCATTTCAAGTATTTTAAGTTAATATAATGCTTACAGCGTTTGCTCGTATACATATTGAATTAGATTAAAAAGCAATTGAATTTTTAGGGAAAAAATCTTGAAACAGATTTCGGAAGTGCTTTACCACTTATTATATTTGGATCTGTTGGTTTGATTGCTGGCATCACCAGTCTTATATTACCAGAAACAACAGCCAAATCTTTACCAGAAACTGTAGATGATGCTGCTACACTGGACAATAAGTAAGCAGAATTTATCAATATTAGGACAAACGGTTTGTGATTTATGACTAAATAGAGCATAAACATCTTTAATACATTTAATTGCTTTGCTGACCTTTAAGAAGACCTATAACTTATTATTTTGCTTTATATGGTGTATTATATTAGTCTCAAAATTTTTCACCACAGTATCCCGAATATTGTCATGGACAAAAATATTGATTTGCTTTTTCATGTTTCTACTTTGTTTTGAAATACGAAAATAGATACAATCATAATAATAATATAAACAACACTAAGTGCAATGCAATGAATATAAAACTTTAAAAAATTGGTGCATCCGATGTCTTTTCTGAATTTACCTTCATCAAGAACCTACACAAAAGTAAGAAAAGAGTCAGAAGTTATCAAGGGGACATTCAAAACTAATAAATTAAGAAGAATAAAACTGACAACACAATGGCAAATATCGACAAACGACGAGGAAACAGACATGCAACACGAGCCGTACCAAAAACATGGTTGAAACAAGGTAATCCGGAAATGAAGCTATTCCTGATCTACATGTGGCATCCATCGTGTTGCTCATGCGTGTACAAATTCGGGGATGAAACTCCACCAGCACCATCAGTAATTGTAAAAACTCATGAAAAATACCAGGTTTAATATCTTAAGTATGCAAGACGCGTGTCTCGTCTACATATGACTCGTTGGTGGCACTAGAATCAATAATATTTGACCAGAATCGTAGATCAATATAAATAAAGCAAGACAGATACAAATAACATTCCAATTGCTGGTAAACCAGTCTGAGAACCTCAGATTACGGTAGGCACGACAAGGCAAGAAAAGGCAAGACAAGATAAGACAAGACAAGGCAAGACTAACAAACTGTAATCACTAGTAAACAAGAATCGTAGATGAAGACAGTCAAGGCAAAACAAACAAAACTCACACTCTTATTACTGAAAAACCAGATCCATAGATCAGGATAGGCAAGTCAAAAATAACTAAAGCTCAAATTACCTGTTACTAGAATGTAATGATTATGGACATTTTACAAGCAAGGCGGACAAATGCAAAAGTTTTCATGGTTGAATTATAATTTTTCATTTGTTTTTTTATAAAATTTGTTCAGCTACTGTTTTACTTGTCTTCAATATATTGTGTTGGATACTAATCATTTGCATTTTTTTTCAAATTTAGTAGTGATGACCCAAAGAACGCTGCAGGTTCTGCCTCAGAAATGCATCCAAAATATTCTACACGTTTGTAATTCAGAGTCCACCCAAACAAGATGCAAGTTTTAGGGGGAATGGATACACCACATTGTACAAAATTATAATCTATCGTATGCTGTTCAACAAAAGTTTCAGAGCATAAAAACATCATGAATAGTTCGTAAATATATAACTGACTTTTACTTATTTTCATAAAAAATATAGTCATAATAACTATTATACATTTGAGCTGTTTTTAGAAACTACGATTTCTCTGATTGAGAAGGAAAGTACTTTCAAAAAGTTATGAGTTTGTTGCGCGATTTTAACTATAAAGTGCGAAGTACAATGATTACCTGATTTAGCACCCATTTGAGATCGTTTTTATGACTTGAAATCGAACAGTTATAAGTTCTTCTTGTGTATCTTTCATTAAATATATCATGTATATGCTATTACATCCGTTTTGTATGATTTCCTGGAATAGACAATATAAAACAATAAATGATACTAAGAGTACATAATTAAGAAATATGGAAACCTCTGTTTTCCTAATAACGACAGGTTACATCCATAGTTGTGGCCTGAATATTTTAAACACATGACAATTATTTCAGGCAATAAAAACTCATGTTAATAAGTACTTTAGAAATTCATACTGAACGTAAAAGTACCATAAAATATTTTGTGGATATAGATATCACGCATAGAAAATGTTTTATAAGTCATTCTGCACTTGAATGTTATGTTGTGAAGAACGTATGACCCACAATTACGTAAAGTTAGGTTGAAAGCCATCCTTTCGGGTTAAGGAATTTATGCGTACTGATGAGCCTTGCATTTGGTAATATCTGACAGTAGACTGTTAACGATCTGATATGGCATGAATCCTCATTACTGACATGACTGCATTACATGTATCGTAAAAGGGTCCGGGTTAGATTTTGATTGTAACAGGAGAGGTATTGATACTAGAGCTTTCATGGCAATATAAGTTTATCCCAGGTTCTTAGAGGTGTTCATGTACCACAATTGTAAGTTTTTATGTAAACTATTAATCGTCTGTTTGTCCTTTTTTTGAACATGACGTTGAATTTTTTTTCTTGATAATTGGCTTTGGTTTCCTTTGAAGTCTCAGAGTACTGTACCATTTGCTTTTACTTGCAACAAGTAAATCAGCAGACTCAGAGTTCTGAACAATACCCCTGTCATAAATCTCTATCAAGTTAATCATCAGCATCAGAGTTATGGACCCTACTCCTGTCATGACTTTCTACCAGGTTTGTCATCAACCTTAGAGTTATGGACCCTACTCCTGTCTTAACTTTCTGCAATGTTAATTATCAGCCTAAGAGTAATAGACCCTACTCCTGCCATGAATTTTTACCAGGTTAATCACCAACCTTATAGTTCTTGGCTTTACTCCTGTCATGACTTTGTACTTAATATCCATCGATTTAATTATCAGCCCCCAGTTCTGACCATAATCCTGTCATGACTTTCTAAAAAAAAATGAAAATATCATTTTGTTAATTTGATGTGTCCGAAGCACTTTCCTAGAAAGTTAATCGTCAAACTCAGAGTTCTGAACCATATTCCTGCAAGACGTTCTACCAAGTTAAACACCAGTCTAAGAGTTCTTTGACATACTCCTGACAATTCTCTCTACCACGTCAACGATTAGTCTCAAAATTCTGAACCATTTCCTTTATTTCTATCAAGTTATTCATCAGCCTCAGAGTTGTGAACTGTACCTTGTCATGACTCTCTACCATGTGTCAGAATTCCGAAAAATAAACCTGTCATGGCTCTCTATCAAGTTGATCATCATCGAAATTATTAATCATGGGTAGTAAGTATTGGTAATAACTAATGAAAATTAGTAATGTATTTCTTAATAATTAGTAAAATTATAGGTAATCCATACAGTAATATTGAGTTTATCAGTATAAGTAATTTCTAGGAATTTATATATAAAGAATTACAAGTAATATTTATAGTAATGCCAAGAAAACCTGTTTTGTAATTTATAATAAATGTAAATAATAATTAGTAATATTACAAGTAAATCAAAATAATTACCCATTATGTAATGTAATGTAAGTAATCCAAAGTAATAATCTAAGTTAATCTAGGTAATTCAATGTTATAACCCTAGCAATTTAAAGTTGTAATATATATAATTGTAGCCTTTTGATATCGGGCATACATGTTTTTATAAATGCATGTGTTTTTACCCGATGAAAGTATGTTGATTGAAGACGAAGTCCGAAGTCATACTTTTATGGGTCGATAAAAATGTATAGACCAATATCATGAATATGAAAAGGTAAAACAGGTTTTTTTTACAATACTTAATTATTCAAAAGGTGTAGCTTACCTTGACGAGTAACTATTAAATATGTGTGTTTTAGTTCATTTCCATTACCATTCGATGTTATGTTCGACACATATTTTGGCTACATGTGTTATTCATTTCAAATAGTACACAAGTACTATAAAGCAGTGATCAGAGAGATTAATAACATCACAATGTTTGTTTTTGTGTGAATTTAAAAACCTTACATCCAACTCAGCATTGTTAAAATTTTCAAACTCAAATCTGAATGAGTTTTTGCCATTTTTTAACACAGTTAACCAAAGTAGAATGAAAGCTCAATTCTAATTGGTTTAATTATCTTATCTTAATCGCCAATTAAATACTAAATGTTCAAAACTGGAAATGATAATCTTTTTCAGTAATATAAGGCCAATTGTTTATTTTAGTAAAACACAGCCAACATGTGTTCATAATGAAAACACGACATAAATAAAAAAATAAGAAAGCTTTCACATAAAACGACATAATAATTATCCAAAGTAACAATATTTAAATGTTACGCAGTTTATGGTAATAGTCTAAGAAATTTAAAACTTGTGAATATTACTTACATGCATGAAGTGTTTGCTTTTTTTTTTTTATTGTTAAATGCCAACAGATACCTATTTTATAAAATGCATTGGTTAAGATTATCAATAGAGTATATTAAAATCTGACATTATTCAATAACAAATCTCTTGCTATGGACATTTTATATTTCGCATAGAAAAAGATAAAATACTCTCATAGCCTAAATGGTCATTTGGAAGTGTGCTCGCCACATGTGTTGGAGATCGATGTTTCGGTCCACATCAGTTTAAAGACTTGAACATTGGTATGTGCTGTTTCCCGCTAAGAATGCGGCAGTTAGGAGTAAGAACAGAGACTGATCGGATCACAGTCAGAATGAGGTGTACCTGCAGGTTGACAATTCTTCCTGCTAACTGTAACAGTTAGGCGTAAGAACAGAGACTGATCGGATCATAGTTAGAATGAGGTGTACCTGCAGGTTTTGCTACTTTGTGAACTAACACGTTGAATAAAACGGTTCTGTGCGTTTGTCTAGAACAAAGTATCGATCATAGTTACATCACATTAACAGGTTCTCGTCCTGATAAGCATTTGATAATTGCCACTGGATATTAAACACTTATCATATCATATCATACAAAAGAAGTTCACACTTAGCTTGTTGGAATATAAATGGTTTTAAACCTAAACATAAACACACTGCTCCTTTGAGGATTCACTATTGTTACCAGGATTTAAATTTGATAATCATATACAACCAAAATCAAGCGCAGTAACAAAAGATCGCGAGGTTTATCCATTTGTGACAAAAACGAAATTAAATTTGGGGTAAAATTTCTCGAGCATTTAAAAAATGACTACATAGGGTTCAAGTTGAGTAGCTCCTTTTTTAACCTTGACTGCTGTACCCCTATTTTTGACATTTTTACCTATTATGTCTGTTCGTTTTGTTCACATTGTTGTCAATATAATGGAATTTTATGCGACTGCCATACAAGTGAGAGGTTTAGCTAGCTATAAAACCAGATATAAAAAGTGAAAAACAAAAATACCGAACTCCAAGGAAAATTCAAAACGGAAAGTCCCTTAACAATTGGCAAAATCAAAAGCTCAAACACATCAAACAAATGGAAAACAATTGATTTTGCCATTTGATAAGGGACTTTCCGTTTTGAATTTTCCTTGTAGTTCAGTATTTGTTTACTTTACTTTTTAGATAAAGCTGCCTATTTTAAAGTTCATAACTTTTAAGCTGATCTTTCTGGTCACTATCAAGTCTCTGTAACGTTAAATATTGATATGAAAGTTCCTGAACTCTTAGATACTCAGAGTAAACACTTTCATATAACTCCTCCTAGATATATTTGGAATGAGGAGTCTGAATTAAAATTTCAAACAGCTCTGTCCTCCAATGATATGCAAGAAAATTTTTTTTTTATCAGATGACTCTTATTCCCACAATATGACATCAAAACTAAATGATATAGTATATAAGGCAGCTGATAAATCTTTAAAACAAATATGCCCTAAAATTAATTCGTTAATTTTCAAATACTAAAAATAAAATAAAACAACCAAAGTGGTTTGATTTTTCTTTAATTAAAATGCGTAAACAATTAGATGACAAGGAAATACTATTTAAAAAATATAATAATTACCCTATAGTGAGTGGGAATTTCTTTAGTTTTTTAAAACTTTATAGAAATACTAGAAAAAAATAAATATAAACAGTTCCGAAAAGACCTTATTGTACAATTAGACAAGGGAGGCAAAAGATACCAAATGGACAATCAAACTTGTAGATCGACAATAAACTGACAACGCCATGACTAAAAAAGAAAAAAAAGACAATCAGACAAATAAGAGTTCACAAAACACAACATAGTAAACTAAAGATTGAGCAACACGAATCCCACCAAAAACTTGGGGTGATCTCAGGTGCTCTGGAAGGGTAACATGAGAGATAACAACCAGTCCCAATATTGGGCCTTACTACATATTCTCAGTATTGAATCCTTTTTCTAACATATGAAACTCAGATTGGTTACACTATTTTAAAAAGCTTAATTCAAATTCCTTACCTGTAAAAAAGAACTAATTGATTCACATAATAACCTAGAAAAGCATAAAATTTTCACAGAATTGGATTATAAAATTACAGAAAAAGAGATGAATGAAGCAGTCAAATCACTAAACAACAATAAGTCAAGCAGCTTTGACTCTATAATAAAAATGAGATGCTCAAGTGCAGTCAATCATATCTGCTTAAATGTTTCGTAAAAATTTCCTGAAATAAGGCCTAAGGGATTTATTGTCCCAATACATAAAAGTGGATCAAAAGATGACCCCTCTCAATTTGAAAGGCATCACAAGAGGTAGTTGTATAGGAAAACTCTTTTTGAAAATACTTAACGCCATTTTGTCCATGGTTATAGTTGTCTTTTTCGACATTGTGTCATAGATCAAATTTGTTCGTTCAGTGTATGTTTACTTGTTTTTGTTAAGATGTCTTTTTGATTGAGTTAAGCCATTTCAATTGATATTTTATAGTGTGTCTTTCTATGTTGG